TTTTCCATTTAGCAAATTACTGTTTTACGAAAAAAATCAAAGAAATAAAATTTTAGATATTATTTTTATTATTGTACACATTACTAATCAAATATTATCATTATCGTTATTGCCATCATATTTCATATTATTAAATAAATTTAAGCTCCGTATTACGTACATGATTTTGGTGACGATACTAGGTGGGTCGTAAAACCCGAGCTTCGGAACTTGAACCGTGTGGAACATGGCATTTTATCTATTACAAACGTTGGGTATCTTTTCAAGGGTTGTTCAGCATTTAAAATAGAGATTGGAATCGATGATTTCGAACATCGGCTGATTACAAAATTTTGATTTTCGAAAATCGGTAAAAAATTGTGACTGAATATGCCAGCTTGTTTACTGAGTGTCTTCTAATTATATCTAATTATATTTTGTGGCGAGTTGTTACAAATTATATCAAAGCCCGATGATAAATTTTCCCTAGACAGCACTCAGTAAACAAACTAAACATTGAAAGCCTGATGACAGGTTTTTCCTTGGCAGCACTCACATTCAAATATTCATCGAGTTTTTAAAAATATCCCATGTTACATATATTACATTTATCAATTGTACCGTTACTATTAAATTACTACGTCAAGGAAGAATAAAATTAATTACCTTCATATTACGTTTTAATAATGCTCTCTTCACATTCATTATATTTTCTGCATCCGAAACAAGTGCTCGTTTGATTACTGTTGCGGAAGTCGTGCCATTTCTCTTAAAATTGGTAATCTTTATTGAGTTACTATGATCAAATTAAAATGCTGCCAAACCCAAGATCGTTTTTTTTAGACCAATGTATTTCTAAATTTGGTTTTAGAGCGCCTCTTTTACATTAGATTTTGGTTCACAAGCAGAAATACTAAACATTTATATCCGTATTCTTCATTATTATTATACGGAAACAAAAATTCCGTCATTAATTAAGTAATGTCATTTGAAAGATTTAATTAAATCAATAAAAACTTATTAAATCAATAAATTTATCAATATCACCAAAAAACATGCCAAATTTTAATTTTTGACTGATGCTATGCTTGATGACTGACTGAATTAATAACATCCTATTGTTCGAAATTTTCGATAGATGATCAGATAATTATTCAACGATCCCACCCTTTAGTTTAAAATACACGTGAATTTACACGTCAATCGCGTCAATCCGAATAAACGTGTGAGCTCGCGTGTGGAGGTTTGATGATATAATCTTATAATACATAGCTATTGGATGCGAGTAGGGTTATTAACTGTAACTTAAATACGTACAATACCTTACCCTATTAGACGGATAATTAATATAGGCATTTTTTAATTATTTTATAAAATAATAATTTAAAAGTTATATTTATACTTGTAAAAAATAACCGCGATACATCCAATAGCTAGCACTATCTTATAATAAATAATCCTTTACAATCGTAACAGTATTCCAATAAACAAGCAAATACTTGATTGGCATGTTTGTAATTTTATTAACTAAATTATCAACCGTATTCTCTGTTAAATTTAGCCGTATTAATATCGATATCATTTTGACAATTCGGGCCAGAACCATGAGACAATCCTTATACGATTAAATGGTTAAATGGTTAAATGGTTAAATGGTTAAATGGTTAAATGGTTAAATGGTTAAATGGTTAAACGGTTAAAAACATTTCAATTCTTACAGTACATCGGATTGTATACACTGAAACATCGGTTTAAATTTACAGACGGAATATATTAATAATCTTCGATGATCAACTAAAAAGCATTGAAATTGAATAATAATTAATAATTGTCGGATTGATGCTGGTGCTGAGGTTTAAGATATTTATTAAACTCTATTAAACCTACTAAGATTTATATGTATTCTAAAAAATGCATCCCAGAAAAATTTAAAATTTCTCTTTTAAATACGTTCAATACTCAGCATCAGCATCAATCACAACATTTATTAATAACAATAGTATATGGCATTTAAAGATGGACAAATGTAATGTACAAAAAAAAGTCGATATCGAATGATATAAATAGCAGAATAGCAGCTTATTTTAATTATTTTTCATATGCATTCTCTTCCTCATTCTCTTCCCCATTCTCTTCCTCATTTTCTTCCTCGATTACTGTAAAATTTAAAATCTTGTTAAGAAAATACTAATTACAAAACAAAAAGTCTTAAATATTAAAGAATCTTTACCTCCAGTTTCATTAAGATTTCCAAAATCCATAATTCTACATGTATATACAGCTTCAGGATGTATTTGTATTTCACCACCATCAGCTTCATCTTCTTCATCCTGTTTTTTATCCGACTCATCAAATTGTCGTTTGGTTTGTTTATTAATCTCATTCCATGTCCAGAATTTATCTCTTAATTCATCAGCTGTTGGTCTTTTTTCAGGATCCCAATGCATGCATTGATTTGCTAATTCAACGTAACATTCTGGTGTAAATTTAGAAAATTCTGGACGTAATCCATCACAAATTTTTATTGCAAGTTCCCTATCATGCGGTAAATTATAGAATGGTGGTTTGCTATTTGATATTTCTGCCATTATAACTCCTAAACTATAAATATCTGAAGTTGGTGTATACTCTTGCCCGCATAATACTTCTGGTGCTATATAAGGTAACACTCCAAAAATACGATAATTATCTTTCTGATTTGATCTTTCTACTAAACTCGCATGAACATTGGATAATCCCAGATCTGAAATATATGAAACAACTGTATCTCTAACATTATGAGTTTTACATAATATGTTACCGCTATGAAGATCTTTGTGCATATATTCTGCTTGATGAATACTATCCAAAGAGTACGAAATGTCTGTTAAGATTTGAAGCCTTTCAGTCCAATCAAGTCTGGATACTCTGAGACATGTTCGTAGATCTCCCCTATCTGCATATTCGACGACTAACATGTATTCTTGCGTTGTTGGATGATAGGTTATGCCATAAATACTAAAATATTTTCCAAGCTTGTTTTTAAGACAACTGCAATATTGAAATTTAAACTGAAATTATATGATTTTAAATTAATTTTTATATATTATTTAATAATAAACAATAGTTATTATTATTATTATTATTATTATTATTATTATTATTATTGATAGTTACCTCTTGCAAGAACTCAATTGATAGATTTGATGATTTTGTTAAAGTTTTTAGTGCTACATCAATAGGCCCACTTCTGGTTTGTTTTGCATCATAATCTAAACTATTCAATTTTCTTAACCCATCGATCCAAACTGCACAATACACTGAACTAAATCCTCCTTCCCCAATTTCCTGTACGTCTTTAAGTTTTTCAAACGGAATCCATTCAACTACTTTTTCATATTCTTCCGTTTTAAACCATAATCCTTCTAAGAAATCATCGATCGCTGGGTTTCCTGAACCTCCTGCATCTTCAAATTCTTTGAGCAACTTTTTAGGATCACATAATTGGCACCAAGCGATGTTCGTATTGTAACGTTTACATACTTTACATTTTCCGTACGATTTATAACGTTTGAAGTCATCTTTGACATCTCTAGGTTTTATATTTGAATTACCCATTGCTTTTTGTAAAAATCAGAAAATATTTAGAAAATTTTAAAAGTATTTAGAAAATATTTATAGAAAATGTTTTAGAAAATGTTTTAGTGAAAATTAAAAAAAAATTATATATGTGTATTTATATACTTATTTGCCTTAAATGGCTGATCCGAATGCGTAAACCCCCCTGGAGTATCTGACTAAATTACGCATGCCTGCATCGGTATTGATATACCGATACGTGTGTACCGTGCGTGCGTGAGTGCACTGAAAAAATCTATTGGTTTTGAAAGATGGGGTACAAGCGAAAATCGCCCTCCGACCCTAACAGAAACAAACAATGAAACCAGTGAAAAATCCCAAGTAGAGCCAAATTTTACTATGCTAACCAACTTCTAACTTCTAATTAAAAATGTTCAACATTAAAAGTTGCTTATATTATTATTTACTTTCTTGTATCAGATTTATGTGATACTCCAATCTAGGTATTTGGATCGGAAGGGTCCGATTTTCGCTTGACATGAAGGGTAACTATTAATTTATCTGCTCTGAAACTAAAGGAGAGGGAGATGGTCACACAAGCATACTAATATCGATATCGATATGGGTGATTTTTGATCGATCGATGCATGGAAAGATTTGATCCGATTAAGTTCTTTAATGCATACTGCAGCTACCACGGGCTTTGGCTGAAGCAAAAGATATGTATTCTACTCATGGAACACATATTGCCTTACGTTAATATCCTTTTCTACTTCTGGCATTTGTATACTGATACTAATTATAGCTTATTTCCATCTAGATGCGTCGGGATGTAAATTTCGATTGCGTTCTTCACGTATCATGAGTTAGGATTATTTGATTATTGCAAGGACAGAACAATACAACGATTATTTTATATTTATGGTACGATACTTTTAAAACCTTTTGAAAATTGAGATTCAATGAGTTGCTTTATTCAATGTGAACTCTTTGCTATATACTTATAGTACGAAAATCTCAAAGTGCACTTTACCTCGGAACCATAGAACTTCCGGGCCGTACGTACTATGTACGTACGTACGTATGTATGTAAAATAATTTCAGGGGCTGAGATTCTTGGCAGCTTTATTTTATCATACGTAAGTGTTACTCAAGACCGCTGATTTCACCTTTTAAAGTAATTCTAAAAATAACTGAGTCATTTAACACTTGCTTGATTAACGTTAGTGATAAACGTAACACATACGTATCTTTATGCGGATATAACCATCCTAGCAATTATTAACTAAAAAAAAAAATTTGCTAGCGCTAGAGTTAGTGTAATTTTAGGTTACACCGGATCATTGAAATTTGATTTAGATTGGTGTAACACCAAGGTAGTGCCTTTCATTATAGAATTTGGTTTTACAATTAATTAAAGATTCTGAGCGCATGTTTTTACCTCTAGTCATTAATGCTGAGTTCTTCTGCGTCACCAATTCAATTGCGATCTATAAAAGTTCGAGTATGAATAGCAAGCTACTAAATAATGCATAATGACAATTAAATTATTCTAATCGGAATATCACTATCGTTATTATAAATAATAGCTGGGAATTTGCAAATAATGATACGGGTCCAAAAAATTAGTTGATGATTCGCCAGTCATCTGGAGAACTGTGTGACGGAGTTACAAATTTTACATATAAAATTATAGAATTAATTTGTAATCGTAGCTAAGAAGTAGAACGTAACTTAAAACAGCTTTTTTAATAAAAACAAAACCCTGCGATTAAGGTTAGGGTTAGAATGAAGTTGTGGTTGGGAAAGAATATAACTTATACCAAAATTTCACAAAGAATTTTTTTTGTTATAATCAGGGATGGCACGTCACAATGTCACAATTGGTTTCAATTTGTTTTGGACATATGTCCAATTGAAATTGAACATATGTCCAAAAAAAATTGAAACCAATTGGACATTGTGACATGCCATCCCTGGTTATAATATAAAAGATAATTTCATAGTCAAAATTTTGAATTATTAATAATTTTTTGAAAAAATAGTTTTGTTTTGATTTTGTATTATACTTGATCTTGAACTTTGATTAGCCTTATAAGATATCGATATAATTACAGTAACTATGATTACAAATTTATTAATTCTAAATTACGTTGGCATGGTGGACGGGTTCTGTATCGGTTTTGGGAGGTTATCGGATTTGAAAAAAACACATGATAAATGGTCGGAAATCAGCCAATAAAAATTTTTTATCGAATTCGCGAAGTTTTAAAATTTAACAGTACTTAAATTATTAAGGCTATACAAAAATGATTTTCGTTTTGCATTAAATGACATTCGAAATTTCGGGGGGTTTTTTTTTTGTTATTAATCTATTAACTTTTAA